ACTGAGCTGTGCTGAAAAACTGCAGGTCCCCTTGAACGCTGCCCGAATTCTGGCCCATCGGCACACGGCCCAGAATGGGCCCCTAGGCACATCTGCAAAGATTTGGCGCCGCCTGTCTCTGGGGAACGCCTCAAGTAGATACAACGAAAAAGATGATGCCAACGTCACCAGTACCAAATCATCCTCAAAGACACCATCTAGATTCTAGATGATTGACTCCGTTCAAAAACGACAACTCACCAACCCGTCCCGTTGGTTCTGAGACATCTTTTCAACCCACTAAGTCATCATTTCTGGAAATATAACCTAGCCATAAAAAATATTCCCATATATTCTCCCATTCCAACAGTTTATGTCCATTCTCTTCCAATGAAAAAAACACCATGGCGCTCCAGACGTCCGTCGGACTAGACCTCCACCGTGGGCGTCGACTGCGCCGTGTCCACCTCCGTGGAGGCTTCGGACTCCTCCGAGGTGGGCGCCGAGGACGGCGCCTTGAGAGGTTTGCCGGAAGCGTGGCAGACCACCCAGGCGGCTAAGATCAGCAGAATCAGGTGCATGAAGATGATGGTCAGGAAAGGAGACGCCTTGCTGCTTGTTGCTTGATGGTTGGTTGATGGTGATGTGGGGTTGGGTCAAAATCAAGGGATGGTGAGAACGGGAGAAATGCCACTTGGGATGATGGAGTGGGGTGAAACAGCTGAAAACCTGTGACATGGCTACTTCAGAAACTTGCTGTGGGTACCCCCTCCAAAACCCCAATGGTTCAAATGCTGGCTAACTATGCAGGCAAAGAACAAGGAGCAACAAATCACTAACACAAGCATGGTGAACACATTGAATACTTATCTCTCTCATTCACTTGTACTCAGTCAATTTGAATGAATTGCCCTAAACCATCCTCTCAACGGACCAAATATATTGCACCTACTAAGGTCCCGCAATTTTGCCCAGGTGCCTCGCTGACCCTCTCACTCCAGGGCTCCTGTGATTCAAGGCTTGTTGCTACAAATTTGTGCGCGCCAAAAATTCTACCAACATGTGAGACTCAAAGCGGAAAGGCCATTCGTGGTAAACTGACAGCAACATATTATGGCTAACCTTACTTACCATTACTTACCCTTGGATGCCCCAAGAAGGATGCGACTATTCCACCATTCACACCAGTCGGTTTACACAGATACCTCGTTATCTCAAACATTCTCAAACCAGATCAAGTACACCCCGGATCAATGCACCTCGCTTATTTATGACGGCGGTGCCTCCGAGTTTATGAATGGGTTGGCGGTTGGTATTGCCTGGGATGGGTTTTGTAAGCAACATTTATAACTACAGCTTTTCTATTAACATTCACCCACTATTTCAGCTGAACATGACTTGGGCCGGTTGGTCACCATGGAATGACGCGGAGGTTCCACCTCCCCAGCGATGGGATATCAATCCATGACTGGGATCCAAGTGCCTAGAATTTTCCACCTAAAATGGCCATGTATCCGGGGTATCCCCCAGTATCCGATCATTTGTTCCATGATTGTCCCAATTTTTTTTCGCTGGTTAGTGATATAGCATAAAAAAACCATCCCATTGACATCCCATGAACATATGCATGTATCCCATGAATATCCCGTTAACATCTCAAGTAACCAGCGTTTACTATCTCATTCGCTAACATCTGAATTTTCAATAGTGAATGGCAATGGGATTATAACAAACCATGCATCCCATTGTATCACAATTTTCATTCATGAATGGTATTGCACTACATACCACTACTATCCGATTGACATCCCAATTTTCCAATACTGTCAACCCTGGATTAATAACCACCAAACGGCTTCTTAATTGGTGGGTACCACTAAGTATCAGAGTATCACTGTTTTGGGAGGACGTACCCCCTCTAACTTGAAAGAAACAAGAACTATCAATCTGGGGACGTCGGGGAAGCCCATTGGGAAACCAACGAATTTTCCCATGGGGATCGCCCTCTCCTCCTCGCGCATGAAGTACAGCGCTGTGTTACCGGCGCTGCCCACCACGTCGAAGAAGGTCACGCCGAAGGAGTAGCCCTCGATGGACATGCTGGACACGAACTCGTGGAACCTGGGACCGGAAGCGAAACTGTGGGATGGTGAAATCTGCCGTGCATATATCGTATAATCGTACAATCAAAAAAAAATATATATATGTATATATATATATATATGTATATATATATATATGTATATATGTATCTCTCTCTCTCTATCGCCATAACGGAGGTTCAGTTGCGTATTCGTAGATATGTGTATCTATGGCATATTCTTAGTACCTAGTTGTGATAATCTTTACATCATTATTTTTGGACAAGGAGGGCTTCGGCAAACTCATGTCCACATCAAAACCAATGCCTTTTTGTGATGACTTGGGTATGCATGGAGTCAGTAAGCGGTTAAAAAGCATGATTGAAACCTGCTGTGTATGGGATATAGCTAGCCTCAAATTTGTTTACATGGCTTGTAATACAATTGCCTTATGTGGGATGCACATCCAAGTAAGGCTGGGGTGGTTGAAGCCAAACTGAATACCCCCAAACTTCATAGTTGACCTAGGATGGGGGCATAATTTTTACTGAAGATATTGAAAAAGAAGAATGGGGGGCGGGGGTTTAATTGGGCGGAATGAACTGGGAGATTGAGCAACAAGACTGTGGTGAGGGGAACATCGACTGACTGGGGATATTGATCAGTGAGGCTGGCAATAATGGCTTCCACAGCTGGTGGATCTCAGGTTTCCCCCAGTAAGTCCTCCATTTTGGACCTGTCGGAGCCGAAGAAAGCCGTGGAACTCGGGAAAGAAGCCCAGCCCAATGAGAATGCTGGGGACCAACTCACCCAGGATGAAATCCAGCTGATCACCTGACTTGACTCAGGCTCGGCTCCAAGATCGCCAAATGTTGCTGGTGTTTTTTTCTAGTGTTTGGGGCCTTTTTGGTGAGAAAAGGTCGCTCAAATCTCGGCTAGACTAGGCAGGCTAGTCATACTCCCCAATTATCCAATTCCTATCCTGGGCATTTGCGCAGGTAGACCGAATCCAAGTTGCCTGTGGTGATGAAGAAGAGGTAGCATGCAGCACAGGCTAAGCAAGAGAGTACCTGGGATGCGACGCGAAGGCCGAGGATCAAGGAGAAAATATGTCAAACAAATAAACAATGTGATTCATTTAATATGCTAGATGATCTTTCAGTTGGTTGTGCCTATTGAATCACAGTCTATTCCAACTTTGAACTCAGCCGCAATGGGATAACCGCCAGGTTGGATTACCAGAGGCGTTTCGGAAGATAGTCCAGCGTTTCAATTCACTTAGTACTAACATGGGCACTGCAACGGCCCAATGAAGAAAACTCAAATAAAACTTAGGGAACTGGGTAGAATCTTAATCCTTCTCACAGGCAAAGAAACTGGCTGGAAAACCTCCTAGGTCCTGAAGGTGTATAACTGGAAAAATCATCGAACTCAATGGGACATTTTCCTTTGCCATGGCCACAGGCAGCTGGAGCCAGGCGTCGGTGAGAACAGTGTAGGCCGCGGTCATCAGCAGGCGTCGACGGCAGCCTTTCTCTACGCGATGGAAGAAATACATCTGAACTTCCTGGGGATGCTGGGAGAAAGTTAACCTCCGAAGTTTTGGAGAAAACAAACCGTGGTTTAATGATAGAGGTTTCACGTGTTCCATCACAATCCAGCCGATAGCAGGTTAATACGCCCCCAGTGGTTGGTTAAGACACCTTTGATACAATTCAATAAGCCTGTTGGGAGGGGCACCTTCAGGGGGGTTGTTAAGGGTTTCAGCGGAACCTTTAGTAAACAAAACGAATTATGATCTTCGCAGGAAGAAGCCAAAGAATTTCAGGAATACTAAAAGAGAAGTTCCGGATACCTGATTTGGCAATAGAACATGCCTCATTTGTAGATTGTCTGCATGCCGGGGAGAATTTAATTAAAGGAACAAGTGCAGGACACCATGGTTTTTCCCGGCAATTCTGGGGGTATCCACTTTTTGGGATGGGGTCCATTTTTTTAACGGCGAGATGAACATGGGCCAAGACCTACCGCAATCCCAGTGATACGCAGCGAAAAATCACCATGACCAAATCAGATTGACCATACCAAATATGCCCATATGAGCATCTGTGGGACCTATTATATTGACAGCCATAATTTTCTCCCAACTCAGCACGGGAACCTGGGATCCTCTACTCCAAAAAGCGCAGGTTTTCTGGTGGGACCCCTGATCTAGACATACCAGAATAATTCGGAAACATGGACGCACACCGTTTTGGGGATATTTCCCTTTATATCTGCAATCAATACCCTATGATAACCTGCATAAAATTCCAAAACAGATTTCAAGTCATTTTGGGCATTACATCCCTTAACTAATTTTTCATCAATGCTTGGGTCGGGCAATGTGGTAGACCCGACACAGTCGAGCGTCACAAATGCCACAGCAGAAGACCTGCATGAACATACCTCAGAAGCCACGTCCAATACCATTCTGTTTGATCTACCCGCTGGTAATGTGTTACAGGTTGCATGCGAACTGGAAGCCATGGCCCATAATTAGATAGTTCGATGATTTATCGAACTTAAGAATGGTGATTTTTAATAGCAACTGTTAAATTACCAAAGGGTGAGCCAAATTCTTGGGCAACCACGTTTTTTTTTAAAACTAAAGGAAAGAGCAAACCCCAAGTTTTCCCTTCGACCAATGGCCAAGATAAGTGGCGCTATGGAGGCCACTCAACTGGGGATAGGGGCCTCTCCACGAACCGAATCAGCTCCATGGCTTGGAAAATCCACTGTTCGGTGGGTTTCCCAACTACAAACACTACAACTTCCATTGACTTCGTGGAGTGCCCCATGATTTTCCCATGGAAAAGCTTCGACACCGGAGACCCACCTGTCGATCCAGGTTGCTCAGCGCGGAAAACCAGGACGGCTGCCTAGGGACGGATCAGCGCGGACAACGTGGGTAGAGATGGAGGGTCTATGACAGTCGATGAAATCAGCAAAATCAAATTAGAACATCCTGAAATTCCAGGAAAATCACTTGTTAAACAAATCTTTTCAACTTCATTTTCTTATTGCCAAAAAGAATAACCATGGAAGGAAGGCGGGCCCAGATTAGGTGTGAACATCGTGGGATTTTCCCTTGGGAAGCGGTCCCGCAAGGTGGCCCAAATAGCGTTGGCGAACATAGCTTGGTTGACTCGGTAAAAATACGGGATATAACATGGTATACCTAGACTATACTGACTGGTGTTTTTAAACTAGCTTTATATAGCTGGGGGGCCCCGCCTTACAGAGGGATCTTCGATTGTACCGGCCATTCACCAACTAATGTGGAGCCATGGAAGATAGGATGGGCTAGTGATATACCCACTTTGGTCAAGTTCCTCATTCTTGGTTGAATCTCCTATGTTTGTTGCTTTCGGTTCTACATTTATCGATTTGATTGCCAGTCGCCACCAGGATCACTGGCATCATTCAGGTGGGCCTTCCAGAATTTTCACCTTTGTGAAGTGCCAATACTTTCCATTTGAAACAATCATAATAATAATTAATAACGGTGGATTATGGAAAATAATGATAACTATTTTCCATTTGAATATTATCATTATCCATAACCAATGGGTTGGTTAATTATCATTTATATATATATATATGGATAATATAACTAGATAACTATCAGTTAATAATAATCGTTTAATTATATAATGATAATTATCAGTTGTATTATGTTTCCAATTGGCTAATTATAACCAATTATCATGATCCAATCCAGACACCATCTATGGATACCTGTGGGAGTTTCCCCATGCAGGGTTGACTCAGTATCCCAAAGGGTTTAATAATCTACAAGGTGGGCCCTCCCAGTTCTAAGTTAGTTTATAACTAATTAACTCTAGTTACACCATCAATCCAACAGTTAACCAAGTGATGTTCACCAACTTAGCTAGAAATCAACCATGAATATCATATTTTTCAGGGTTAAATTCATCTAGATCCTCATTTCCTAGGCTTTTGGGATCCCAGCGGCGTGTGAGCTAAGGTAACCCCAACGAAGAGAATGCCGGCCACGTGCCACGGGACCACCAGGCCCCAGGATAATCCTCACCGACAACTGGGGCGGGGGTTGAACGGCTGGGAAAAATATAGGAAAATCATAACTGGTTGGTGGTTGAGCCCTACCCCTCTGAAAAAATATGAACGTCAGTTGGGATGATTATTCCCAATATATGGAAAACATGTTCCAAACCACCAACCAGATAAGAAAACAGTTGGGTAATTCCAATCTTTTCATTTTCTTGGGGTAGTGGTGCTTCATCTTGCCATACGGGCTCTCGCAATTACGATAATCTAGCTTTAATGTTGGGATAAGGTTTTGTTTCAGAGTGGACGACACCCAGAGATATACCTCATGGTTTATCTTTCTGAGTAGAAAGTAATGAACCATGGGAAGGAGTGGGGTACTCATAGGGAATGGGGGGAACGCAATCAACAGTCGAGGATTTCATCCAGCAAACATAGAGGTTTTAGCCAATGTTTGAAAGAGTTCGACCAACAAATAAGAAAAAACATCTTCAAACATGGGATTTCATTGCCAAGAAAAGGATCTAGCTATATCAAAAGGGGGTTCAACAACTGGCTGGTCTTCTCGCAGGAACACTCCCGGACTCCCAGCAGTGATTGATGAGGGGCACCGCATATATTTGGATTCATCCCCAGTGATATTTGGATGCCTTCAAGACAACCCAGCGAAATTGACATGGACAAATTGCGGGATAGAAAGCACCTAGGGTTTTCCGGGTGGAATGTAACTTGTGCACATAGAAAAAATGATAGACTCTGTTGGTGAAAGGAGCCTTGAGTTCGACCCGTTACCAAAGCCATTGATTTTATTACCGATCACACCATCAACAGTGAACACCATCACGTCCCGGTGCAACGTCGACGCATGGTCCTTCTGTGCTGCGGCGGCGTGTGTTCAGAACCACTTGGGGCACCAACATCAACGCGAAACATAGGGTGCCAATACCTGGGCGCACATGTCCCTAATTCCGTAATTAGAAAATAAGATGGTTTCTGCACAGATGTACCCTCAAATGGAGGTTTCCTAAAATGGAGGTATTCCCAAGTCACCATGGGTTTGAATAGTATAATCGCCGAATGACTTGGATGATTTGGGGTACCCCCATGGTTTAGGAAACCCCCAAATGTGGTCAGAGGTTGCCATGGCATGGGTTCCCTGCCTCCGCAGAGGGCTTGCAGCCAGACTGGCGCCATGGCAGTGAGCCAAGCTGTGCAAGTGCGCCACGGGCAAAGGGTGGTGGTATTTCAGGCAACTGGTTTTGAGCAGAACAGCATCGTCGATCACCACCTCGTTGTGGTAACACTTTTGCCCCCTTGGGGCCTCCCAGAAGAAACATCAGGACCTGCTGTTTATCTTAACGCTGCCGTTGTTTTGATGGCTCATCTCTTCGGTATCACCAGCCAAAAACTTGATTTGTTCATGCTATGTGGACCCTTCAAACTATGAAATGAATCACAGCTTCACCAGCCGCTCCCAACAAAGGTGCCAGGCTATAGCGCCAGCAGTACCACTAGCTGCTTCCACTCTAAACGACCATGACATCCCCACGGACGTCGAATCCAAGGGTCAAGTCCACCAAGCTCCGCGACGCACAAGGCTTCGATGGCATATCCTTGGTCAGCAAAGTTGGGGAACCTGTTCGGTTAGAAAGGGTTAGATATGGATCACTGGACGTTATTTGGTTGTATTCTTTACCTTTTTGGGGGACAGTTTGCCTTAGAAACATGATTTGTCCTCAGTTTTTTTCACCAGAGCACAGCTCCAACGGCCTGAGCCCCAAAACTCTGGTCATCGGTAAACGGAAAAGGCATGAATCAACAATTAAAACAAGGCACCAAGCAGCGCAAATCAGGATTTTTCTACTCATGTTTCCCCACATGTTGTAACCAGTTTTACCCATTGGTTGTTTAAGGTACTCCAAATCAACCGTGGGTAGTCCCCCCAAGGCCCGGGCGGATGGGAGAAAGCCGCTGCATCATCTCCATGAACTGCGGAAACATCGGGGTGTCATGGGAAGCTTACCACCCAAGATCTGAACATATCATTGCCAATCTTGGATACCACAAAAAAGTTCGCTGTTGAAAGTGGATATTCCTATTGAACTAGCACAAGATTAAAGGATCAGCAGCTGCCCAGCGGCCCATTCAGTTGCTGAACCTAGATATAGCATCCTGGCGGGTGAATTCCAGGCCTCTGGGATGTCAAAAAGATCATGGCTATCCACGCCATGGGGGAACCACTGGTGATAAGGGGGCCTCCATTTCAACAAAACCACGAGGCATGTATTTTGATACCCTTGGTTATTTAACATAGCCATGGAGAATGGCCCATTTATAGATTGTTTACCTATTAAAAATAGTGATTTTCCATGGCTATGTTAGATAACCAGATGGTACTTCGCAAACAATCAAACTAATCTCATGCCTCTAGACTAGTAAAATTGCGCATAGTAAAATAGATCGATTGTGCTGAACCCAATAAGCCATTCCATTAATATGACTGGGAGTCACTTTACATCATCCCATTTCTAGGGGTATACCCTATTTCATAAACCTCGAACTTGGGGACGGCTTTACCACAATCATCTGATAATTTTGCCACAATTGTCCTGTAAATTGTCTCAGCCTTTCCCTATGATTGGCTTTTACCATGATAAAACAAGGTTTTCCAAAATCGGCTGTGACCCATCCAGATTAAATCCCATAAAATCCCATTACTGTGAGGGCCCATGGCCTTGAAGCTTCCAAGGTTTCATTTTAGGGGGCTGGAAATGTAGGCCCTGTATCAGTGATGGTTCCAAGCCGTGCTTGTCATAGTATAAACACTACAGGTTCACATAATATATATTTATAAACTGTTTCTTGATACTTTTACCAGAAAACTACCCAAACATCTTCACATGCAACGCAGATGGTACAGGAAATGCATCAGGGCAGCTGGGATGACCAATGGGTTCTGCAGCCTTTTTGCTACAAAAGCCTCAAGCGTTTGGAACCCACCGTGGTTCAGCTACTTCTCTTTTTACCATGTCGGATGATGCAGCTGCCACTGCACCAGCTGCCGCAGTGCCAGCTGGAGCTGCACCACTCACTCGTGGACAAGACCAGTTGCCAGCCTTACGCGCAGCAAGGGCCGTGCTGAAGCAGCAGCTGAAAGAATCGACCAAAGAGATTCGCAAGGAGGCAGGTGCCACTCAAATTCTCATTCTTGTGGGGGACATGAGCCCTGAGCTTGCCAGGGTTGATGCATGTCAACAAACGTTGGCCATGTGACTGCATGCGCGCCTGTCAATATCTTTCTTGCCAGGTTCGCCGCAGATCTCGTCTCATGAAAAAAGCCCAAGGCTTAACGACGGGTGACCTGGCTTGGCTCATTGCTCGCCGTGCAGCTGAGTGAGGTTACAGCATTCATGCTTCCGAAAAGGATGCGGTTGAGCTGCAGCAGAAATCGTCCTCATTTTCTTCAAAAGCAGAAGGTGAGCTATGCGGATGCATACGCCGAAGGCGTTGAAGTCAACATCCTTGCGCCTGTTTGAAAAAAGCCGCTTATTGGGTCATCAAAGTGACTGTTTGGAAAGCCAAGGGCGACATGTCAGGGAGTGTTACGTTCGAAAATGTTGCAAGGAGAGACAAATGTGAATTCAATCAAGGCATCAGGTTCAAAGGTTCCCATGTTGAATCCTTCGCCAATCCCAATTTCATGTGCCGAAATCACTTTGGGTGTTTTATCTTTTGCGGCCTCTGGCAAAGTCAGAATTCTCATGGCCATGCGGTTTGAGCTGATCAAATGTTCCGCCCTTGCCATTTTACCCTTGGTGTGGAGAACAGATTTTGGAGCCAAATCCTATAGACACGGAGCAAAATAAAGTTAAAACATTTCAAAATACTGTTAGGAGCTTGTTGAGCAAATCCCATAGGCACGGAGCCAAATAAGGTTAAGACATTTCAAAATACTGTTAGGAGCTTGTTGGGCAAATCCTATAGGCACGGAGCAAAATAAGGTTAAGAAAGTCCACATAATAAGAAAATCAATAGAATCATCTAATTCTTTTGATTGTGAATTTCCAGGTTCTTAACCTTATTTGCTCCAATTCCATTAGGATTGCAGTCCCGAAGTCTTCCCTGTATTTTTCGAATCCTTAACCTTATTTGCTTCACTTACATTGGGATTGCACTCTGGAAGTCTTACCCTTATTTCGCCACCCCTTACCCTGATTGCTCCATTTACATTAGGATTGCACCACGCAAATTGACACTCACCTCCCGGAGCCTCATCCTTATCATCTCATCACACAATTTTCAGCATATTGCCGGATGTGGCGGCAGCTCGGCTGCTGGCGGCTGTGGCGGCTGCTGCTGGCTATGGCGGCTGCTCGTGGATGCAGCGGCTGTGGCGGCTGCTGCTGGCTGTGGCGGTTGCTCGTGGATGCGGCGGCTGTGGTGGATGCGGCAGCTTGGTGGATGCGGGTTGCTATGGCAGAGGCCATCGGCTTCAGCGCCATCACCTTGAGGGAGGGTTCACATCATATTGGCACTTGTTGGCTAGATTTTCCTCCTAAGTCTGCAAGTAGATGAGATTTGGCATTGGGTTGTTGCGGCTGGCCGTGGCTAGGGCGCCTGCGTTTCTTTCGTTTGTGTCTTGTCCTCCTTGTGGTCTTTGTCCCTGTCTTCTTGTATCTCTCCCCTGTTTCTCCCCTCGTTTGTTTTCCTGCCATTGTCACCCTGTGCAGGTGCCTACAGCGACCTCGAGCTCTACACGCAGCGGCCCCTTGGCTTGCTTGTGGTTGCTGCTTGCTGCTACTGCTGCTGGTGTTGCTGCTGCTGTCGCTGTTGTTTGTTGCTGGCCTGGCTGCTTCTGCTGGTTGCTGCTGCTGCTGCCGGTTGCTGTTGCTTCTGGTGGCTGTTGCTGCTGTTGTCTTCCTGTCGCTGTTGTTCTTGCTGCTTGTGATTGTTCTTGCTGTTGGTGTCGTTGTTGGTGCTGCTGTTGCCCCTTTTTGGTACTCTTTCTCTCTTTCTCTTGCTTTCTTTCGCCTTGTTTCCCTCTCTTCTGCTTGCCCTCTCTCTCTCCCTGTCCTGCTCGTTGTCTTTGTGGCTGTTTGTCTTGTCTGTTCTCTCTTCCTTGTTCTCTCCGTCTCTGTCTGTCTCTGTCTCTATACTCTCTGACCTTGACCTCTACTCCCTAGCCCGGCCAGCACTATCACTTCTGACTGTGCCAGACTGAAGTGACAGAATCAGTTTGACTCAAAGTATGACTCGCAGTATGAATGCAGTATGAATCAATGAATGAGATAAGCAGGTAAGAAATGGCGGAATGATGGCGGAATATTTGATCTACTTGAGCTGAGCTATGGTATGGTATATCTTACACATTGTCCAGTTGCAGCCGCATTGTCAGCCGCAGTTTTTTTTTGAGCAGCCTTGTAGAAAACAGCCCAGGAGTCACAACCTATATGGTAATCGATCTAAAGGTCCTTGCAAAGAGTTTTAATTGCGAAGACCGTTCATGTTATGCTGGAAACCCGTGCGAAAGTTTTTTTTCGCGTTCGCGAAAGTAACCTTTTCATCCGCGAAAGTTTCGCGAACGTTGGACATTGTCCTCATTCTGTCACGGGCTGCCACCCACTGCCGCCCGGGGTCTGGCAGGAGAAGGGCACCGGAGAATTTCGGTTTGGTTCTGGTTCAGTTGCCTGTGTGGTGGCTTCATAGGTAGCAGCCGAGCTTCCAAAGGTGAGGCTTCGCGACAGCCAAACACCATGGTCCTGAAGCACATCCTTGCACCTGCCGCTGTCACTGCCTAATGATGTTTTTTGAAGTGTCAAGAAAGAAGCCCCACATGCAGCAGCCAAGTTTCCAAAAGGGAGGCTTTGCAAGAGCCAAACACCAAGGCCCCTGGTGTTCGCTTTTCCTTCGATGCGACCCCCGCTGATGGCCAGGGTCTGTGAAGAGGGATATTCCCGCGAACGGTCCGCGAAAGTTCTGCGACGGAGCGGGCGAAAGTCGAAGTCCATGTTGAAGGGGGTGGGTCAGTAAACCTTGCCAAAAACAAACCGAGTCAGCAACAATCTGTCCTGAGAAGGGATTCCGTGATGCTAGCTGCATGTTTAAAAGGCAATCAAGAAGTGATCCGTGATTCTGTGGCGTACTTTGGCAGGTGGTGAACGAATCTTCATAAGAGGCGTTGTTGCCCAACATGG